GACCCTTAGTGTAGATGCAAAGTGATACAAAAATTACCTTCCTGATGTGCTTCAATTGTAAAAATCTTGACAAAATTACTTTTTTGATATACTTGCACATATATAATGTAAATCTTATCAGAAATAGAATTTGGAAATTTTTGTCTGTCCGCACGCGTGTCTATATTTGTGCTTTAATGTTACCAACATATGCATACTAACGCGTTTGTGTAATACAGTATGATGAGCATCATATGATGGGCTCCGGACATACGTAAATGCTACGCATATAGTAAAAAGTGAGCTAGGGGCGTTGTGTTACGTAAGATGTAACTAAGATAAAAATAGCATTCGAATTCGAATTAATACTAAATTGCAGGTCTCTAAATCAGCTTCGGTGCTACATAATATGTATTAAGTATTAAATCGACTAAGCTGATATGATTCAGAAACCTATGTATATACTTATCTTGGCAAAAATGACGTGTCGGTATGAGGCTATATAATTTCGGTTGTAAAGAAAGAAAATATACTTTATGTAGTCAACAATTTTGTTCGGGTTATTTATACAAACGTGAATCTTGTCATATTTATTTATTGTGTAATAATTGCGCTTTCCTTATTAATATATAAGACCCACCATACAGTGTACAATTTTGAAAGCTTTTATTTTTAAGCTGTTAATGAGCTAAAACCGTTTCATTAATTTTGAAGAATGTTAATTCGAAAAGGTTTATTTTTAGTGCTATTTGTTACAATTTTAACCATAGTATCCCTATGTGCTTTGTTAACGTCAAGATATGTAGAGATATACGAACATCCTTTAAATTATTTTGAAAAAATTTCAAATAACCCTGAGGAATCTTCAATTAATTTTGAAAGCTCTAATGAATTAACCAATAATCTTGATGTTTCAATATCAAATGTAAATAAAGAGCATTATCTAACGAACGAAGACTCGATAATGGAGATGGTCACTGATGCAAATGGAAATCCTAAAAAATATTTAAATGCTTATTATTATGTTGAATACTTAAAAATACTTCGTGAACAACATAATCTAATGCTTTATGATATTATTGATAAAGCTGATTTGGCTGTTGCCAACACCAGCGTCTATTCTGTTACATTAAAAACTCAATTCGCCCCATCTAACGATCCACATGATTATATGTCTTTGGCTCGCTATTTTTGGCCAAATCCTAAAACCAATGATGGGATGCCATATATTAGAAAAGATGGTTATTCTAATCCTGAGATTTTGACTGTACAAGATTATATTCTTTTAAGAAAATTAATGGCAGAAATTCAGTATTTAGGATTGGGATATTTTTTTACAAAAAATGAAACATACGTTAAAAAAGCAATATATAGATTAAATGAGTGGTTTGTGGACCCAAAGACAATGATGAATCCAAATTTGAATTATGGAAGCCTTATTAAAGGTTCTAAACTCGGAAGGAGAACTGGTATTTTGGATTTTCATCCCATTTATAGGTATGTTCTCAATTTTTCTATTATGAGTTACTGAAAATATAAACTTTTTCTCATATATTAAATATATCTAATATATAATTATAATTGGTAGAATTACTCAATCTATTCCATTAATGAGGTCTTCAGAGTTTTGGGATCATAATATCGAATTACAATTCAAAAAATGGCTTACAATATATTATGATTGGTTCGAAAAATCAAACCATGGTCGTGCAGAACATGACGCAAAAAATAATCATGGTACATTTTATGACGTTCAAGCAATTTATATTCTCGAATATATTGGTAAAGTAAACGAAGCGGAGAGTTTTGCTAAGAAAGCAATAAAAAATAGAGTTAATACAGGTATACTTGCTAATGGACAACAACTCCATGAAACTTCTCGTCCCACAAGTTGGTTTTATTCGACATTTAATCTGCAAGCATTGTTCTTGCTGGCTGAAAGAGCTACGTATTTAGGATTTGATGGATGGAACTATAGAGGAAAAAATAATCAAAGCATAAAAACCGCCGTAGACTATTTGTTACCGTTTGCATTAAATGGAGGTGAAGGATGGGAATTTAAAAATATTGGTGGATTTAAAATGAATATGTATGTAAGGATTTTGGAATTAAGTTGGATTATTTGGGGTGATGATAAGTATCTCGATGCTATCGAGATTCTAAGACCAAAATCAAAAGCAGAGCAAGCTTCGAGCGATAAAGAAGTATGGGAAGAAAATTCTCTCTGTAATTGGTCTTTGATGAACTTTAGAACTTTGTGGCCTTGTTTGCAATAATTCTACAAAAGTATTTAATTATTTTGGTTTAAAAAATTTTTTTTATTAATATACAACATATCTGATAATCTAATATATATATTATTACCTATCGTTATGTACGTTTTAATCTAATATTTCTGTTCATAAATCACAAATTTGCAAAATTGTCGCACAGAAGTGTAATTTCAAATTTTGGCCTAAATTAAGCTTAATTCTGGCCACTATTCTAAATAACGTCAATGTGCGACAATACGGTAAATTCAGGGTTGGCATCTTGGTAAATTTCGCCTGCTTTGGGACATTGCTCTATTGAAAATGTTTAATATTTAAATTTTTAATTCGTGGTCCGCCTAAGAACCAGTGACAAAATATAGTAAAAAGTGGTGATATTTACTATTGTCTTCGGAATCTGGAGTTTCACTAAGAAAAACTTTTTTCTTTACTAAGTAAATCTCTTTTCAACTTCTAAGTAAAGTTGTAGAGGAGTATCTTGCGATCAAAATGGCAGTTAAACCGTTAAAACCGGCCCAGTGGATCGCGAGATAGAAATATTTTAGTCTTCGCGACCATATGGGCGGATTCGACGCATTTGTAGATCATTTTACATGTGATAAAATCATAATTATTAATATATTAATAATCAC